TTTATTTGAAAAGAGCAATCCCTAGAGTTTCTTGCTCGTTCTTCTCTTCGTCACTTAATATTAAAAAAAAAATAAACGTACTATACGGTTGTTTCTATATTAACAACACAGTGTTTACAAAAGTGTTCATAGAAAATAGGTATGTCGGAATTATAATTCTAGCGCCTAAGGCAATGCAATTCCAAACGGTGTTTATGAGGGGCTATTATAATATTGACCACAATGGCCATTGGCCAACGTAAAGGCAACGATTTCCCGCGTAAAATGTCAGAAAATTAAATGATTATTGCCTTTTCCGGTTTATGAACGGAAACAACAGTACCAACTAAAAAATATCTAAACATTTGGCAGTATAGCTAATTAGGCGCCATAAATTAGAAAAAAATTACTACTACTAACGAAATTTCAAACAGAAATTGCATAACATTGGCTTGGTAAACTTTGCAAAAAAGACAAGACTATGTGTCGGAGTGACAGGATGTCGGAGATACTTTACGCTCATAATCAGTAACTGCAATCTTAACACAAAATGATAGATCGAATTGGAATCACTGCGTACTGCATAGACGTATATGACGTAATTGCCTGCACTCAATTCGGCGCTGTGGAAATGTTGTTTGCGAGCCTAATTTGAGCAAATTGATGTGCAACAGCCAAAGACAGACGCAGGCACTCTTGCTACAGCATCTGGGCTAACAAGCCGAGATTGGATTACTTATGACCGAAGTTTAATGACGGTGTTTCGAAAGAAGTTGTTATTTTTGTGTACACTAAGAAATACAGTACAGTTGGGAATAAATAACTGGAAATAATGCTATAGATACTCTCATACAAAAATATTAGGGTAAGACTGTCGTCGTGTCATGTGTTGCCTTCCTGTAATTCATAGAAAAAAATATATATAAAAAACTACTTACTTGTATAAGGTTTATCACGTTAATATTGCAACTCGAAGAGTCAAAAAGGTCACCGTAAAGATACGTGTAACGATTTCCCGCGAAAAATATCGGAAAATTAGCAGAAAAAAAATGGCGGGTTTTAGTTATGAGTTTTTACACAAATTAAGTTTTAGGTTAAGTATTATTTATTACGTTTTGAGTTTGTTAATTATTTGTTACCATAAGCTGATGGCTCTATAGCCAATGCTCAAGAAACAAATAAAATCAATGCTTTCCAAAGCCTGTTCCAAAGGACGGACAATTTTACTACGTCTTTACTTTTAATTGTATTACCAACATTCGAGTTATGTGTTACCACTGACCTACCTTGTATTACAGTTAGATATAAGCACAAAGATGCAATGTTTTTCTTTGATTTTATTTCAAAGTCGTATAATAAAAGAGGAGGCCTGTACCCACCAGTGGATGTTAACGGGCTGAGATGATGATGATAAAATTTGAAAAGGTAAGCACATAAATTTGGTTGCTTGTTTATAAACCTACTAATAATGGACGTAGTTTCTAACCAAGACCTTGCAATGCAAGGCTAGATGTAATTAGAACACTCTGGAAGTATTTTTTGTTAAGTGACGAAAGTTTTGTAACTATCCGCTGCAAGCTTTATTAAATACGTAATCAATGTTTTGTCGGCCTTGGTACACATTTTGGTTTGACTTTAGGCGTCTAGAAACGACTCTATGACATTACTCAGCTGTGTAAGGATGTATTTAACAAATAACGCGCAGTAAATTTACGTTACCTTGTTATTTTCAAAATCGTTGCAAATGCACTTTTTTAATACTTGGTGAAATTACAGGCACATGGAACTTGTCAACTTATGCCCGTCACGGTCACGGTGGCAGTGCCCCTCAGTTGCTATTTAAAGCTCTGAATGGCACTGCAACTGTTGTGGAAAGGCGTGTCGCTTACCATCAGGCGCAACAATTTGTTCGGTATCTAAAAAAAAAGTAAAATAATTTAACGGCTCATGTACAAATATATTTATATTTTAAGCTTTCGCTTTTTAAATATATTTTATATTGATTAAATTTAGTACACTTAACTAATATAGCTCAATTTATACTCCACCATGCCAAATCAGATGTTCTTTTTACAAAATATTTTATATATAGTAACGTTCCTCCAAGAGTACGGTTGTGTTAGATATAATTATATAATCAAATCGATTGCCAGTTGTATTTTGCGTAGTGTCGATGGACACTCAAGTGCAAGGTAATCGCGGAAGAATTACCTGGTGTCGACGCTTACCAGGCCATTGATTCCGCTGTTCGTCACGACAGGTCGTCCGCTGTTCGTGAACAGGTCGCAGGCAGGTCTCTCGGCCACGGCCAGAGACCACTTGCCTACTAACCTCAATAATGAATAATTATGGTTTTTTTTGGAATTTCGAAATGAGCACACTTCCCTACTTACACCACAAGAATGAGAACTAAGTATTTTACAACTTAATTACAATAAATAAAAGACAATTTCATTTATCTATTTAGTACTTACTACCAATTGTAAAATTATTTAAAAACGCATGAGTGCCAATAACTCTAATATACCCACACAGAGCTAAATCTTTATTTGCGCAATTTTCCCTTGATCATTCATGATTTCACCTCACCGCTACACTAATATTGAATTACTTAACTTTTAACTTAATCATTACATACATTCGAAAGTAACTTTGTTAATTTTGAAACAGAGCGAAGTCCAAGGTTTCTTGCCAACATCATGGTAAGCTGTTGTACCAGCTTGAGTAACCGACTACACTCGTGTGGTTACCTATGGTTATATAACGCTAACCCCAATGCTAATAGTATGCATAGAGGTAGAAAGTGTTTGTTTATTATGAAACTGATGACTATTATTCTACGCCAGGGCTTAAAAATTTTGTGAATTTACATATTTGTGACTTAGTTTATGGTTTTACATCCATTTCATTTGTTTGTGAATTCGAATATCGAAGTCTTTCAATTCTTTAGAAAACTTTTTAAACTAATTTTTGAAAGTTTTTTGAATTTAGCGCTATTAAATACGTACGTATTTTATTTGCATTTATTATGTTGGCGACAGTGCAGAACTGTCAATGTCAAGAGTCTAGTTACACCTTTTTTGTACATTTTCATCGTGCATAAGTATGTTAGACAGTACAAATTCTGAAACATTTTGTAGAGCACCATCTCCATTTAGAATTACTTGATAAAATAGTGAACTAAATAAGTGCAACTTCAAAAAACGGCGGGCGAGTAAATTATACGTTTAACACGCTTAATTTACGTTGTTTCAGTAAATTAATTGTAATTTAAAGAATACTCTGTGCATATCTTCAACTATTATGATTTGTTACACACGTGTGAAGTAAAAAAGACGGTTTATTTGTGCCTAGTTCGATGTATTGATTTTTCACGAACTGAGGTAACTTCTGTTTACAATCATGAAAAACAGCATTTCTTTGCATTTTGAGCAATAAATATGTATTTTATATATGGGTGGTTACTTTCAGTGTTAGCTTGTAATTAAATGGCTAAGCAAGTAGCGGACGTGCAGATTCATGCTTCGGAGATCAATAACTTGTATGACGATTTGGACGTTAGCGTTGATCAGATTGATGATGGCCTGTATTTAGGTAAGTTTAAGCCTATTTATTTGTTTACAGTTCCATTTGCTCACAAATATCCCCCACAATTTGTAAAAATAAAAATTTAAGAATCTACTTATGTCTTGAAAGTTTTATGTCATTTGATGCAAAAACAGCGGAGTTATAAGTTTGAAATGTTTGTCTGTTTGCTGAGTTATAACGTCTTTTTTCGTAAACCGAAATGTAATAGTTTTTTCTGAAAATAAAGTTTCCTGAAACAGTTAAAAAATTAGCTTTTTCAGGCTTCGTACTGGCTGACTCATTTTGTCAGGCGCACCTTTTGCTGCCCTAATTTGTCATAGAAATATCAATTGAATGTATGTAGTACAAAATCCATTTCACAAAGAAGCATTAAAATAGCTTATAAATGTTTACGGGAGTTTATATTATAAAATGTAACCTAATGAAGTAGTAATAAAGTCTTATTGTGTAATGCAGGATTGGAAGGAACGAAACTGTTTTGTATGGAGTCGCACACATGTGCATTATTTATTTATTTATAAGCAAACTTAACAGCTATTACATCTTCTATACAATTGTAGATTAAAAACTTATAAAGCCAATTATAAAGTTTGACCTTTTAACATTTATATTGACGTTACTTAAGCTATTTCTGAGATGTTATACAACAGTCAAATTTTCAATTAATACTAAGATTTGAAAAAACAAAAGAGAAAAAAAAAATGAAATACCAAATCTTTCAACTAAAATTCACATTAAAAAACAATCATATTATTCTTCAAGATTATACGACTTTAAATTGTCTTTTACAATCATTAGATCATTGTGTAATTGAATTTGTTTGTATGACGGCTTGTGTGTGTTTGTGTGTGTGTGTGTGTGGAGGGGTGATAGTGGGAAGTTTTGCTCTGTCTAGTTGTTACTTAAACTTATAACTTGGGGATGCTCTTTGAAAGCGTTAAGGAACTGATTGCGTGAAAGAAAGAAAATGTCGACGTCCCTAAATCTGTCCTCGTACGTGCGCACAATTCTGTGCAAAACTGAGTGTTTTGCATAATTTGAGCGGGCCGTACCCGCATATAAGGAGCGCATATGCCTGGTGCGACGAGTACAGGCGCACAAGCCAATGATAGCCGTCAATGATATATTACACAGTAACATAATGTAATGCTAATGTGGTAACTTGTTTGCAGCCATAGATAAACAACTTCCAGAGTGAGTCTGTGTTGTTTTCATTACGATGATGTTGTTTCTTTGGTAACTGTTTCTGGAACCAAAGCGTTTATTCATTACATGAAAGGAAAGTGTTTCTTGAAATGCATTCTCAAAATAACTCTGGAAGATGCCTACGTTTTAGGACATGTTGAAGTTATCGAGTTAACAGAACAGATTTTGAGCAATATTCAGTATGTTGTATGTTTGTATATTGGATAAGTTAGTATGTAAGTTTATTTTTGTTAATCAGCAATAAAGGTCAAATAAAAATAAACAAATATTAACCTTAACATTTTGTAACTGTAATGTAGAATACATTGTTAAGAATATTTTGACAGACAAGAGTTGACACCAAAACTATAATAAGGTTTAGTGTCTAAAACATTGCGGATAACCTACACCATTACTAACTTTGAAAATATTAGTTGTAATTGAACTATATGAAGTATATATTACAGGTAACCTAGCCTGTGCAAGGGATTACAAGATGCTGGAACGCCTGGGCATCACTCACATCCTGACCATTGATCTGGTGCCACTACCAAGGAGTATCCTAGACCGGACCGGGCTCACCTTCAAATATATTAAATGTGAGATAAAATTGTTTCTACATGAAATAATAATATTGAAATTAAATTAGATCTCAACTTATGACATGCTTAGATGTTCAGTTATTGGTTTTTATTTTGTTAGAAAACTAAAGAATTCAAAAAATATTTCCAAAACAGAGTTTATTTATTATAATTATTAATACAAAGATCGAACACTCAGAAAAAATTCCTTCGATCCGGTCGTATTCGAACCGACGTCTTCTTGCATACCGTGCCAGACGCTATACCAACTAAGCCACGGAACGAACCAACGGACCTCACGAATTTTTCTATGTGCTTGCGTCATGTCTTTGTATTTGGTTTTTCAACGACTTTTTAGTCGTAGCGCCATCTATGAGAAATCTATGAAAGATTTATAAGACATTACTCATTTGTAAGTAACTGGGGCTATTTCTGTATCAGTGGCTGATGTTCCCAAGGATGACCTCATCAGCCACCTGCCTGACACCAATGCGTTCATCAAGCAAGCCATTGCCAACGGAGGCACCGTGCTGGTACACTGGTAGGCTGTACTTTTATGACACATATTTTAAATTGTTTAAATTTCATTTGTTTACCTGTTGACTACACTGTTTCCAAAGTAACTTATATAATGTTGAAAAGCCTGTAGATTATCACTTATTTGGAGTATGGAATGTTTATTCTGGTTCCTCATTACCAGTAGTAGTAGAGTGAAAGTGTTCGTTATAGGGAACTACTACCACCTTACCTATTTTTGATGTCAAGCAGTAATTTGAGCATTACTGTGTTTTGGTTTTTAAGCGTAAATGTTCTTTTCAACTTATATCTCACATTGACGGGCGCAGTGGTAGCACCTTTCCGATTGCGATTTAAATCTCTTATCGGCACTGCATCGGTTATGGACAAGCATGTCACTAACCACCAGACACTCGACGTGTTTGTTCTGTCACTTTGTATCTTAAAAGAAGGAGCTTGCATGTATTATGCTTGCAGGCGTATGTATGTGCATAGTACAGTAAAATAGTTGATTAAGCTGTATTTATAATTGTGTTATTGTAACCCAGTAAATGATGCTCTCACTGCTAATGTCTTTTCCAGTTATTTCGGCGTGTCCCGCTCAGCTGCCGTCGTTATAGCCTATATAATGGAGAAGTATGGCCTGTGCTATGATGATGCTTTGGCCTTGGTCCGCACTAAACGAAACTTTGTGCACCCCAACTTGGGCTTCGAAGCACAGTTGAAGTTGTTCGGCCACATGGGCTACAGATTGAACAAGGATGATCCACGGTTCAAGCAGTTCCGGCTTAAGATGGCAGGACAGAAGTTAAAACAAGGTAAGTAGATAAATGCATCAGCCATAAAAACATGCATTTTTACAATACAGATAACTGTTATTACATTATAAAGTGAAGCAAAATTATGTTCTGGAGTTATCTAGTATTAAACTAATAAAGAATTTACTAGTCACAAAACAATATATTATATTATACAAATGACAGTATTTATATTGCTTATATCTACGTAAATAGATGCTTCAACAAGTGCAAATTAATAAAAGTATTATATTGATTGTATTAATACACAATAATACTTAAATACATGATAATATAGATTACAAAATTACTGTGTCCGACAGGGTCCATAAATGCATACTGTATATATTTTGTAACACTTTAACATTATGGAAAAGCAATAAAGTATTGAGTGTTTTTGTTAATTTTGGATCAATTGAAACGAAGAAAGTTTTTGACAGTATTGCTAAGGTCATGGTTAACAGGTTGGTCACAGCGAGTGAAATATAAATTTCTTCTTTAGAAAGTTGAATGCATCCTAATCAGTTGATTTGCTTAGTGGAATAGTGCATAATTGACTGTGTCACGCGTTAATAACTAATATACAGTAGATGGCTTCAATCTTAGGTAGACAACATACTTTTGCGTGATTGCCTTGAGCTGGATAGAAAGCTTTATGTTCCAGCAGTGAAACAGAAAAAGACATTGTTGTTTAAACTCCGTTATGACCACATAACGCATAACATCTTTTCCGCTCTCATTGCTTGGCTTAATTTGATTCCATTTCAATAAGTGACTCCTTTATTCAGATCTCGAGACACATCTTAAGGGACCAAGTGTTTTATTGATTAAATTTTCTCACAAACTCGATTGTTTGAGACACGACATACTCTTGAATAAATTGGAATGTTACGGTATCTCTGGGACTGAATTAAGTATGATTAGGTTGTATCTTTCAAACAGGTCACAAATTGTAACCATAAAGAGGAACATGCTGTACACATTGTTGTTGCAGTATAGGTGTTCCACAGGGACCGATTCTTGGACTGACCTTATTTTTAATTTATATTATGATCTGCCGTGTTCATTACCAGATTGGAGCCTCGTCAATTTATTGCCGATGATATTCATATCGGACTAAGATAAAAATATTGTTAATTTACAATAAAAGGTAAACGAAATTTTCAATTTTGGTTAAAATTAGCACAACCATCAACTAAATTACTTTAAAATCAACAAACACGACCTGTACAATAAAATCAAATTATATAATAAATCGCCCGCAGCAATAACAAGTTTGCCTTCATCTGAATTCAAAAATGAAATGAAGCTATTTTTTTGGAAAAATACCTAATTAACCACATTGAGGAATTAAAACTATCTGTGAAGGAAGATAAAATTTTATTATAATTTGAAGGAATTTTTGTATTTATCTTTGACATAAGACTGAATTTTATTATATTGTTGGTATGTTGATGCATTGTTTTCATATTAATGCAGGGTTTTCAAAGATATTTTTTCTTAAACATTTTAATTAATCTAAATTGCAATAAAATATTTTCAGTAGTTTTAATTTAAAGTCCTTTAAATTTTATAATATTTTGACATGTTAAATGTGATCATTGTTATGAAATGAATTGAATTTAAAAATAATTAAAATTGAATAATAATATTAATAGGCAATGAAACTATTTTTCCGGATTTAAATCGCGTATATTTGTTTTTTCAAACAAACCGACAGTCAACCGTCACCATGGGACCTTTTTTTTTTTGCAAAGGGCCCGAAACGTCGGTTTGTTTGAAAAAACAAATATACGCGATTTAAATTCGGAAAAATAGTTTCATTTCCTATGTGTAACAATCGCGAAAACTAAGAACTCGATAATAATATTAAGTTAATTGAAGAATATCGAAGTTTTAGTACCATGATAGTAAATGATTTTTTTTGTAAAATTACTGCACTAGTTTGTTAAAATTTATTAATAATTAAAAAAGTTCCTTGTAAAGGTACCTGACTGAGTGAAGAAACATTTTCAAAGATTACTCACAGTTGGCGCAAATGACAAAATTAAAAAAAAAACCATTAAAAATATCTGCAACAAGCACAGAGAAATCCGTAAGGTCTGCTTGGTTCCTTCCGTAGCTCAGTTGGGAGAGCGTCAGGCACGGTATGCTGAAGGTGCTGGTTCGGAAGGAATTTTATTTAGTGCTCGACCTTTGTATTAATCATTGTAACTGCATAACTATCTTGAGGAGTCGCTAAAGTGCTGAGTGATATAATTGTACATTGTAGAGAATTGTAATGGGGTTTTAACAAGTGAGTGGCGAGATCTAATGCCCGTACACAAGGTTTCTTAACCTGTGGTCCAAGGACCCCTAAGGGGTTCGCGTAATGAACACCGGAGGTCCAAAACGAGCCTACCTATTATTATTATTGTTGTTAGGGTGGCTTCATTCGGGGCATATGTAGCCCCTCATCACTGCGACCATCAGTTGATCTATTGTGATCACCACTAATTACAGTTCGGAGCCAAGTCCGACAGCATTGATGAAATGAAGGACTTTCTTGGCTCCGACAGATTAAATGTCGTCTGGTTGTGTCATGTGCCTTCCCAGTATGGAGCTTCGTACGCCCATCAGGGGGTAACATTGGGTGAGAAGATGAGCAGGAGTTTCATCCGCCTCGTGGTAGAATCTACACTCTTTATTATCTTTCTGCCTAATATTTGACATGTGCTAGAGTGTGGGTAGAGTTTTTTTAAGTTTTGCTTGGGAAGCATGACATCAAAAGTCATTTCCAGAACAGGATGTTCCAGAATTGAGTCCTGGGTTGATCTCAATGTCTGGGAGAGCCATCTAGTTCTTAACTTGGTGGTGAGCCTGTACATGCTGGTACCGGCCTCCTTCTGTATGAATATATGCAGGGGAGTCAGATTCAGCAATGCATTTGGGGCCGCCCCAGGTGTAGTGGACATGGCTCCCGTTGCTAGCAAGCACTCGACACGCTGTAGACTGCTCAATGTGGCAATAGTGGTTGTTTGATTGACTTTGCCACTCTAAACAATGGAGGCATATGACACTAAGGGCATCACATTGCCTTGTATAACCAGAGAGTCATCTTTGGTTTTAGACTCCAACGCTGTCCCGCCGTACGACTACAGATACCTAAGGCCATCTTTGCCTTGTTGACCGTGTTAGCTACATGGCAGTTCCTAACGTTAGGGTTTGATTTAGGGTTATCCCAAGATATTTAACTTCTGCGGAAAACTCACAATCCTGCCACCAAGGATCGGTTTCACTAGTTTATCTAGTTTCCGCTTTCTAGTGAAAGGGACTATGGTTGTCTTTTCCGCGTTAATAGATAATTCGTTATCTTGACACCATGCGGAAATGGTGTCAAGAGTTCCTTGTAAGTGATGATATGGTGCTTTGGCAGTGCCCTCGAACTGTGATCACTAGGTCATCCGCATATCCCTGAGCGTCAATATTCGGTTCGGTCAAACCATACAGGAGCTTACCTAACATATTTTTAATTATTATGATTTTTATATGCATTAATATAAAAATCGGGAAACGCGCTAAAATGCAACCCGCGAACCTTACATATTATTCTATTTATTATTAAAAATTTTATGAAAAGAATACTTATTCATCTAAACATGGCATCACAACGAAAACCTGCATAAGTTTAACCGTGCACCACAAGAAGTTCTTTTTCATCTATTCGGAAAGGAGCCGTGGGCTCTTTGAAATTTCGAGAGGGGTCCATGACTAAAAGAAGGTTAAAAAAACCCTGTAATAAAGAGTTCCCAGGACTGATATTAAGTGCGTATCAGCGTAGACTGAAATATGCAGTTCTCAGATCCAAAAAAACTGGAGTCATATGTGTTAATAGACTATAATCATCGGCATGTTGGAGGATACCATCTCAAGAGACCAAAAGCGCTTGATTATTTAGGATATAAAACAATTTTGAGCTGTAGCTTAGTTTCAGTTTTGTGTGACATCGACTATGATTTCAGTGAAAATCCTCCCCCAACTGTTTGCGGATCTGGTGAAGCCGGACCCTGGTCTGATCCGTGAGAGGCCAGACCCCATCGTGTACCGCTGCAAGAAGTGCCGCCGCATCGTCGCCAGCCAGAGCAATATCATCCCACATATACCGAAACAGGTTTGAAAACACCTACAGTTGGAGCTTCTTCTTATTATTCTTTTTGAAGTGCAATTTAGGTTGCATATTTAGGGCATCAGATGGTGATACGACTAAAAAGTCGTTGAAAAACCAAATACAAAGATACGACGCAAGCACATGGAAGAATTCGTGAGGTCCGCTGGTTCGTTGCGTGGCTTAGTTGGTATAGCGTCTGGCACGGTACGTTAGAAGACGTCTGTCGGTTCGAATCCGGCCAGACCGAAGGAATTTTTTCTGAGCGTTCGATCTTTTATTAATAATTTTTCTATTAATAATTATAATAAACTAGTGGAGTAATTTCAAATTAAAAGTAATTGAATATCAATTCAATAAAAAGTTAAATTAAAACGCTGTTGTTTCAGGTAAAAATCGAATTGGCAAAGAAAGGTATCCGGCCTCCGCCCAGCAAACTCACAGGCCTGAACTGCGCAGAGAACGGGCAGATACTAATCGAGAAACTGAAGAGCCTGGCCTGTCAGATCATGGACTCGAATGTGGCCGTGGAGGAGGAGTCCAGCAGTGGGCACAGTGGGAATAGCGCCAGCCCCGGCCAGAGCCACAGCCAACGCAGTCAGAACGAGTTGCAGGAGCTCGAAGAGGGGTCTAGTCAGGTAAGATGGGATATTATTTATAGCCAACTATAACTATAGTGGCAAAGAGTCGATGTGTGTATATGGGTTGTCTTCGATATCTATTACTAAGTTTATCAACTTCATCTTTTCTATCTATGGCTTCGTCGTTTTACGCGACGATTTCGCCAACGTCAGGTTTGAAAGACTAATTTATTAAGGACTCAGTGCGGTGGTAAGATAAATTGCCGGTTATTAAAATACTTAATCGCTTATTATGCAAATTGACGGTTATCCACGGTGTCAACGGTGTCAATTGACGGTGAGTGCTCTGAAGAGTTATTCAACCTTATCCCTTCCTCTCCT